AAAATATCAGCTGCGATATCCCTCAGGGAACTGTTTTAGGCCCCATTCTATTCAACATCTACGTAAACGATTTATTTTCAATAGATTCGAGGATGCTAGAATTCTCAGACGATACTGTTATCATTTATGAAGCCTCAAACTGGGATGCACTATAAAACACAATATTGAAAACAACCTTAAAAATGTACCAGCATATTTTGTCAGCAAATCATTAGTAGTCAACGCTGCGAAGACTACCTTTGTACCCTTAGCATCTCATAAGAATCACTTGCCTCCGTACACTGAAACTAACGTCAAAACAGCAAATAGTACTGTAACTATTAAACGTCAAGCCGGCGTTAAATACCTCGAAATTTATATTGATGAAAATCTAAGATGTACAAATTGAGTATGTACCCAAGAAAATAAGATGCTTTATGCCAAAGTTCAAGTACCCTACAAACGTGCTTAGCTTTGATTGTATGAGAGTCTTATACTACGCACTCATATATTTGCTACGGAGTAATTGGTTGGTGAGGAGCGGCATTCTCATATGTATTTAAGAAACTTAGAAACTGCTCAAAAATAGCTATATACTAAAGATTATTTTTAGCAAAAACAAAACTCATCCGTCTGACGAACTATATCATGATATCAGAATGATGGACATAAAACAGATTTTTATTTATAATTCCATGGTGTATTACTTTAAAAATAAAACATATCATGAAAAAATTATCCATGAATATGACACTCGCCCGAAAGCAACTCTGCACCAAATAGTACCCAGGCCAGAAAAAAAACAATATTACAACGCTCTTGGGTTTATCTATGCCCCAAGCTGTACAATGAAATCCCTGTCGCTTACAGAACTATACAAAATACTGGTATATTTGAAAAAAAAATATTGTGGATAAACACCATTCCTAGAAAAAAAATCCATAAGTATATAAATGGCAAATCGTTGTACGTGCCTCTATTTAAAGGCCAGATGTAGTCACCAGCTTGTATGAATGTGTTGATTATCGTATATTTGTAGTGCTCTTTAATATTAATTTTGTTTTTACTATATTTTGTTATATTCATTATATACATAACTTTATTATAAGTTTTAATACTTTTTTAATGTGTGCATCTCAATGATTTGTGAATGTACTATACTAAGTGACATATAAATCCGAACACCCAGTTTAAGTGGTTTTATTTTAATAAAAGTTGGTGAATGTATTTATCTTACTGTAAATAACAAGTGAAAAAATTTTCAGCCTTATCAGTTGGACATTCCGGTTTTTATACTGTTTTTTTTTTAATTCACTAACGCTCTAAAAATGAATATTTCAGCCGCAGTAAAGAATCAACGTTGTCGGATTTTGGTTCTTGACATCCTTTATGATCGGTTACGATGCCTAGAGTATGGAGACCTGTACGATTTCATCAACTTAGTGAGTTTGATAGGGGCCGTATAGTGGGACTTCGGGAAGCTGGACTTTCATTTCGGGCAATTGCAGTTAGAGTGCAAAGACACTGTGGTTAGGTGTTGTCAGGCATGGCTTCGAGAAGGCCGTACGCAAAGAGCACGGGGCACTGGACGCCGCCGTAGAACAACAGACCGTGAAGATCGCCGCCTAAGATTATTGGCCTTAAGTGACCGTTTCTCCACTACCAGGTCCATTGCAAATGAATGGTTTGCAGAATACGGAAGACCTATTGGCATGCGAAGTGTTTACCGACGAATGAGAAGTTTTGGCTTGTTTTCATACCGGCCACACTGGGTCCTCCCTTTAACTCGAGAACACCGACGTAATCGCCTTGAGTGGTGCAGACAACGGTCACTCTGGGATCAGGAATGGAACAGTATTGTCTTTAGTGACGAGTATCGATTTTGTTTAGGCATGCACGATGGTCGTGCCAGGGTTAGAAGGCGACGTGGTGAAAGGAGGAATCCACAGTTTTTTGTTGAAAGACATGTTCATCACACTGTTGGAGTTATGGTTTGGGGTGCTATAGCTTATGGTTCCAGGTCACCTTTAATCTTCATCAGAGGTAACATGAACGCGCAGCGTTATATCTACGGAGTTCTAGAACCCCATCTTTTACCCTATCTTGACACCCTGCCAGATCCAACTTTCCAACAAGATAATGCCCGACCACATGTTGCAAGAGTCACAATAGACTTCTTTCAACATAATGATGTCACATTGTTACCATGGCCACCAAGATCTCCCGACTTATCCCCAATTGAGCACGTGTGGGATATGATGGGTAGGAGATTTCTCAATTTGCAACGTCCTCCTCAGACTCTAGAAGCATTTCGAGAGGAGTTGGTGGTTGCCTGGAATGAGATACCACAGGAGGACATTGACCAGAAGCATGCCTAGGCGCGTTGGAGAATGCATAGCACATCAGGGTGCATCCACACATTATTAAAGGTCAAAAGGCTTTAAAGGAGTGCAATCCTTTTGAAATTTTTATCATTTACTTATTATGCTTCATTAAGTACTTATACAAAATTCTATTAAAATATAACCATTTAAACTGGGTGTTCGGATTTATATGTCACTTAGTATATTTCTTGTGATTTAATATTTTCAACCTTCTTTTTTATTTTTTATTATCACTTTTTTATACTTTGCGGATAGCTATAGCTTCAATGCATTTTTTTAGCTTTCATTTTAAACAAACAAATAACCAGTGCCATTTCACGTCTCATAAGTTGTTTCGCCAGTGACCATGATGGCCAATGTGACAAAAGATTAGATTATTGCCACACACACGGTTAATCTTTCGTGGCAGTGTTTTAATATGTTATTATTATTAATTATTAAGTAGTTGTTTAATGGATATCCGCAAGAGGTTTATAGGAAAAACACACGGTAGGTCATGTTAAATCAGTAAAATCGTATCTCATTCATTCGAAATTCAAACATTTCTTCAAGTTTTGACTGAATTATATGTAGTTTCTTAATGTTCAATAAGCGGATGTCATCTGGTACTTTGACAATATTTTGTTTTCAATATTTCACAGCTATTGGGACAATTTACAAATAGAATGTGCAAACACTTCATTAATGTAGCCAACGTGGATCTTTTGAAGTCTGGCAAGTCGTCGTCGCCGTCGTCTATTGATAAAATGTTGTCCAATGTGGGTGATTCGTTTCGGAAGAAAAATTCGTAGCAGTTTTTGGAGTGCTGTTATACATAACCAGGTAATCTAAAAGTGCTTAATGCCAATCTTTTTTAAGGGCCTGACTGACTGAGTCTTTTCAGTACATTCCGGTTTTGTCTTTCCACCTCACCGTTCATTTGTGACCAATAGTCTGATGCCACGTTCATGACAAAATGACTCCATTTCCTGACTTACAACCTGGGTAACATTATCAGCGGTAATGGAAGCAGGGAAACCTATTCTAGAAACAATTTCTGTTTGAGTTTTTATTGTATTTGTAGCAGTTATTGATCATGACCTTTATCTCCTATTCTTGGCCACCAAACTTTGGTCTTTAGTCTCACCTTCGTAGCTACAGTTCCGGGATGTACTTTGTGAGCTGCAAACAAGATTATTTGTCTTAGCTTTGTAGGTATGACGATTCTTATTCCCCTCAGCAAAATGCCATCACATACGCAGAACTGTTCTTGAAATGCTTGGCAGTGCTTAACTGAATCTTGCCAATCATTTCTTTTAAATCCAGCTCTTATTTTCAAAATTTCATAATCCGATTCTGAGCATTCCGTATTTTTTTTTTCAGTATGTCTGCAATGGGTCTAGAATATTCGACAATGCTATGAACGTAGTTATAATTTTCAAATGGTTTTATGTGAGCTGGATTTGCTTGACATAATCTTGATAATGAACCGGTTATATTACTTTTTCCAGGAGGGTAAATGATTTTATATCAAAACAATTGGAGTGGAAGCACCCATCTTCCTATGCGCGCATATGGGCGCAAATTTATTTCAAAAATTACTTCTAAAGGCTTGTGGTCAGTAATGAGATCAAATTATTTGTCATAAAGATAGATTTTAAAGTGTTCCACAGCCCAAACAAGCGCAAGAGCTTCTTTTTCAGTCTGACAATACCGCTTCTCACAATCCGTAAGAGTGTTGGAATTGTTGATAACGATTCTTTGAGTCTAGAAAATTATCCTTCCTGTTCTTGATTCCAATATTTCATAATACTAGTGCTCTTTGCTAATTTCAAACGAAGTAATTTCCTTAAAGGTCCTGAAATTCACTAATCCAGGAAGCTGTGTACTTCGTTAATGTTAGAATGAGCTTTAAATGTTCTAATTACTTCTACATAGCTTTTGAGAGGTCAACTCCCGACGTTGATCAGATATGACCCAGAAATTGAACCTCCGATATTTTAAAAACACATTTATCTTTGTTTAATAGAACGTTATTTTCTTTTAATAGACTCATTGTAAACTTGACTCTGTAATCATGTTATTCTTCTGTGCAGTCATAGATGGGAATGTAATCAATAAAATTTTCGGTTCCCTCGCAAGGCAACAACACTTCTTTTAGAACTTTCTGAAAAATTTCCTGAGCTGCGTTTATCCCGAATAAAAGCCTTTTATATCTAAATAGTCCTTTGCTTGATATGAAGAAGGTGATGTATCTGGATTCTTTGGTCATTTCTATCTGGTGAAAAGCGTTTTTAATATCAAGGTGAGAAACATATTTTGCTTTTCGGAAATGAGGTCACAATGAATCGATTTTTGGAAGCGGATAATTTTCACGTTTAGTCGCAGTATCAGCCTTTCTCAAATCAATACAAATACGTAAATTGCCATTCGCTTTCAGTACTGGAATCATTGAAGATACCCACTCCGATGGACCTTTAACCTCTTCAACAGCATCTAGTTTTATAAGTTCGTCTAACTTTTTATTGATTTTTTCTTCCAGCGGAATGGGTACCCTTCTATATTGCTGACTGATTGTTGAACAGTCTCATCGATAGGGATCTTGACTATTATATTTTTTATTTTAGGAAACGGATCTACATTGTTTATGTCATTTACGTTCAACCCAATCAGAAGAGCATCTAATAAAATCGCTGTTTCTTTTCCTAACAAGTTCCCTTTCTCATTCTTAATTACATAGAAGAGCGCTGTTTGCATTTTTTATTCCTGCTTTTATAGAAGCTTCAAATAAACTAATAATTTTTAGTGGCGAGGTTGAACCATAGGCAAACAGAGTCTTGTTAGGATATTTTTGTTGGTATCCAACACTCGATTTTTTCAGGTGTTTCCATGTGGACTCAGCTATTATATTAGATTTACTGCCTCATCTATTAACATTTATATTCCTATACCTCCTACTTCACAGCTTATGCATTCTTCATTGTCAAGATGAAAAACCTACTCTACCTCAGGAAGCTGATCAACATCGTCCTTGGCTCCCTCCACTCTATTTCTCTTGAATGAAAATTTTGTGGGAATTACGCTTACGTTTCTTGGATTTGGATAAACAATGTTTAGCAAAATGTCCCTTAAAGTTACATCTGTGACAGATTATATCTAGTGCTGGACATTTATGTGCTTTTGAACCACAACAACTACACTTTTGCTGTCTGAGTCTGAAATGGCTTCGGCTCATTCGAAAGTTTATTTCACTGACAGAATCCGACTAGATGTCGACGGTTTTCCATTAAATATCAACAATTGCCTCTGGATGGTTTCTAGCGAATTCGCTTCTTTGATTATATTTTGTAAAGTAATTCCATCTCCAAAAGCTAGTACATTTTTCCTTAGTTCATTTGAAGAGGATTTTTCTAGAATTTAATCAATAAGATGATCCTCCTCAGTATTTTCAAATTTTCCACTTTGATGCTTATTGCTAAAGTCTAATTAAATATGCTTCAAATTTTTCTCCTGGGTTTTGTTTCAGCGTTCTAAATAAATGTCATAAATATTACTCTGTGTAGGTGAGAAAGAATCATCCAGTTTCAGCTCAACACATTGTTTTGCGGCACCGTGCGAATTCCATGCTGACTGATTTATGTTTATTTTTGTAAAGATCAGCCATTCCTTTGCTTCCGCAACATTTGAGTGAAATTTGATTATGCTGTATTATATGATACAGTCAATAACATTACGTTACATGTACTATATACATGTGTAGATGTTCATACACACATAATCTGTCTTTGTTTGGTACTAGGGAACTGAGATGTTTTTGGAACGGAACGAATATTCATTTTGGAACACGTGTTTACCCACCTTGATGAGTAGACAAGTGGGTTTCTAATGAAACATTCACTTGCAATCTATTCAAAATAATACTCACTGGAACATAATACTTACATTTTTTTCTTTTTCTTCGCGGTCAATATGAAATACCTCGTGTCTATATTATTTAATAGACCCCGCGTCCGCACACTGTCTCGTATTCTACGAATGCCGCACTACCCGGCGACCTGTTTATCGATAGTCCTGCTATGGCTTGCGCCTCGCGCATCGGTGTGCTCTGACTCATACGTCTCAATGATGATCCGCTAAATGGGCATGTGGGGTGCCTGATAAAACTTATATTATGGAATTATTTTAATTTGAGAGTACACCATGAAACGACAAAACTACAAGAATTGTCAAAAACACTCAAAATAAAAAGCATTTTCACGAAAACTATTTTGTTTAAACATTAGTGAGCTTTATTGATATTCATAATGACAGGTCTGCCCAAAAATCAATAATAGCGAATCCTGCCTTTTGTCATGTGTCATATTATAATTGAAATATTTGAATTCACTTAGCTGACAATAAAAACATATCATTATGTACAATTCAGGAAGAATTACCGACGCTCGGCTTCTCTCAAAAGAAAGTTTAATTACTACATATTACGTTTGCTGCCTCACAGTATAAATTGTCTTATTATCTTGATTAGGTTAAATCAAAAATTTTCAACAAATACTTTTTCCCCAGAATTTCTTAACAGCTACCAAAGTATCGTAATCGCAAAAAATTTTGAAAATTTGATATAATGTTTTTAGGATGACATGGACATCACGGAAAATCATTTCACTCATTTTCTTCAGCCTGTATCTCTGTCGGTCTGTCCTCTTCCGTTGGCTCGTCTATAACTTCACACAAGGTTGCTACTATGGCAAGGACGAAAAATATTTGTACTTTTTGAAAATTGGTCCAGTGGCAACGACGTTAAGTGCAAAAAACTGACTTTTGACTTGAGGAACATAATCCTTTATAAAATCAAGGCATCGTTACATGGGCCTTGTCCACTCTGCACTGACTAAACCTGCTTGACGCCATTTTCTTATTGTCACCTGGTCTCAATATACACATTTTAGATGATGTTTAGGGTCGATTTCACCAAAGTTGTCAAATCAACAGTCCGTTATTGTCCACCTATAGGGTAACAGTCCGTCAAATACAACGAATGAGCTCCAAGTTCCAATCAACAAATTTTAGCAACCAATAACTATGAAATGTTGAAAACAAAATACTGTCTAAGTATGAGATGACAGCTTATCATTGAAACATCACCAGCTTATTGAATATTAAGAAATTCAATATAATTCCGTCAAAATTTAAATAAATGTTTGATTTTTGAATTAAATTCATGTTTTAATTACTATTGTTGATTTTTTTTTCATTTTTATATTATTTTCTTCAACTGATATGCGATTTTACTGATTCAACATCACCTACTGGGTATTTCTTCCTATAAACCTCTTGCAGATAGCCATTAAGCACCTACTTGATGACAGGCTCTACCAAAAAGTTCATAGATATTGCTCGTTTCCAAACATTCATTCATTTACTTACCGTTCATCAGAACCATTATGACACCTTAGATTGATATTCCCACAAAACCATTCAGGTTTTTTTATATCCATACATCCTAAGGTTGAATATTTTTCGTTATTCAGGAACTACAAACATCCACACTATATTCACAGCGATTAAAAAATTCCCAAATATATGTCTTAAAGCTACCAGCAAACCTGCAAAAAACTACAAATTTGCCATATTTTTCTTTTTTCACGAGTACACATTCTAGGTTAGATTTATATTAGACATTATTTGAATACAGCTGATTATTGCATTTCAAAGCTCCCCGAGTAACACATGTATGGGATCTGTCAACCCTTGGTTCCAGTCACAAAACATAAATCAAATTCAAGCGAATAACCAAATGAAAATGGTATTTACCATTTTGGATTGTTATTTACCGATCCGTTTAAGCGAGTGTGGTTATCAGTTTTGTTATAAGATCCGTGACGTCATGAATCAGCTGTTATATGTCATAGTTATCACCGCAAAATTGTGGTATTGACCCAACTCACGAGTAGTTTTATATTTCTGGTTATTATTTGAAATGTCACAGGCTGACTTCGGTTGTAGCATAAAAGTAGAGCACCTTATTGGTTATACTCATTACTGTTGTTGGGGACACTTTAAGTCTAGTTCCTATGATCAACAAAGTATCCTGTGTTGCCATATACCACAAGAATATTAAAATATTGCCTTATAAACTCACTGGATAATGTCTACCTGTATACGGTTTCAATAAACGTTTTCTTTAACATGCGGAAAGGTTTAGAGAATTGAAAGTTATCATAGCTACAAAGCCATGGTTCCATCATTAAAAATTATTTTTTGAAAAAAAAAGACACATTTCTCCCATTAACATTATGAAAGGTTTCTTTTTTAAACACTTTTGTAGACGAAAAAGCATGGATTATTAGGTGATAATAAAAATAATCAGAAATTATATACGCGCTTTTCTAAAATAAACAACTTGCAACAGAACCGCGGTTAAAACCAACGCGTTCAAGCGATTCAAGTAACTGACGTCATCTTGAACCATATTATAACCGCGGTACATAACAGATATTTCTGTTGTTCGCTTGGATTTGATTATATACTCTGAATAAGGTTTAATTCAAGGCTATTCAATGACAACAAGGTGACTTGTGTGGTTGTCAGCGGCCATTTTTGAGGGTGCGACATGGTTGCCAGATTGTGCATTAATATCCCGTTTCACCCCCTGGTCCCAGTGAAGTAAGTTCCGCCAACTGTTGAAATATACTCTATTATGCTTTATAAGACGATACGTATATTTTTTCCCAAAATCGTTGCACAACAGTTCAACAAATGAAAATTTAAAATTATTTCCATGACGCCGCAAAATAGCTCCGCCGGTACCTCGGGTTATACATCTTGACAGTAGGGATGTTCGATACGATCCTATATTTAGAAGTATCAATACAAATCGTCATCTTTCGATTCGGTCTGTGTCAAAAAGAGTGACTAACTTCAAATTACTTTTCTTCTTTGTTTCCTTCCGCTGGATATCGATAATTTTACTCGAATATTTTAGAGTATCGATACTTCCTAAAACAATAAGAATCGATACATAGCGGTACTTTTCGTGGATTTAAACATCCCTAATCGTGCCAGCTTGGCGTTCTTGTCAACTGGGCTGCAGGGTGCGGTGTTGCCTTTACTATCTTACATTTTGCTAAAATCTTATGACAAATAAAGGCTTCAAATGAAGTACTGACAAGATGAACGGATATGCATAGAATTTAGAATATAAATTCATATTGTAAATTTCAGATTGTCTATGCATGGACGTTAACCGGATTTCTCGGTATTTTTACCGAAAAGAGAATATTTACCGATAACATCATACTCCAAGAGTTTTCAAAATAATTTAAATATTTCTATACTTGCCGAAAAAGTGCTGAAACCAAAAATTAAGCTAACAGTTAATTTTATGTAGTCTTCATATAGTCAACGCCAAACAAAGTGGCGTGCACGTCATCAAGGTGGGTGTGTTGAAAAATTTACATTGTTGCCAAACTTTTTGTAAAATAATAAAATTTATTATTTACATATCTAGGTTTATAAGCAATATTAACCTCAAATGAGAACAAAAATAATAGTATAATAAAATTATAGATCTGTACTTGCATAATCATTAAGTATGACAATTATTGATCAGATGACACTATGAAACTACCATATTTAATTGATAGCTTAAAGGTACTGAATAAAAATCCAAATGGGGTCCTCCAAATTTTATGCATGGTATTTATTTTACAGAATTCATACAGAAAAATGCATTCTAAAATTAGGTAAGCTACTGGTGT